ATATTGGTAAATCAAAGGCCCCTAAGGATAGCACAGAGAAAATCGCCCTACCACATATAAAAGACATCTCAGAAATCACTGCGAGACTCTTCAAACCTTTAGGAATTGACGTCTCACACAAACCAACAAAATCACTTCACTCAGCTGGCTCTGTGTCGACCAAAGGACTCAACAACGAAAGAAGATGAAGCCAAAATCATCTACAAAATAAATTGCAACAACTGCGAAAAACATTACATTGGTCAAAGTGGACGTCCTCTTCGTCTTCGTATCCACGATCATAAGCTAGCCGTCAAAAGACATGACATCCACTCCCTCATATCACTACATACAGACAACCACGGACATCAATTCGCCTGGGACAACCAACGTTCACACATTACATAGAGGAAACATCAAGAATGCTAGAGAATTTTTAGAAGCCTAGTATTCCAGTGAATCGTCAATTAATAGACACATTGACATAGATGAGATTTGCCAATCTTTAGGAAGGAAATCTTATACGTAAAGGGTCAAACTTCAGATCAAGGAAACAGTCAACACCAATACCAATACATGTAGTCTAGAGGGTGTGAAAACACACAAAACACAACCAACCACGTTCAAGGTGACTAGGAGAGATGACTAATAACTCGTGGGAAAATTTAAAAGCTCAGTTCAACAAAGTGAAGTATTCGCTGAAGACGTCGCCTAGTAGGGCAATGGGAGTTTCTAAAATAAACCACCCGGCTAGCTCAGAGAACACAACTGCATCAAAATCGTCCACCTGAGCTACAAATCTTCTCCATTATTTCTATTCTCAAAATGTTTTGCATTTGTTATGTGTTTAATAACTGACTTTCTAATTAAGGTAGCATACTGACTGCTGCTTTGGTGGACTATTAGTGAATAGGATGAAATTCGTCATTTGAGCAGTTGAAATGGTTTGAGCTGAAATTACTATTATCATTTATCCCACAATTATTTCTTACAAATTGAGGGTTTGACAGAAAATATGACGAGATGAAGCGTTCTTTAATCTGGTCTTTTCTTCCAAACACTTAAGTGTTGAGTCATCGTGTAGGATTTCAACAATCCATCTTTCTCAACTCCCACTAATTGGCAGATTAACCTGTGTATCGTGTAATTCTGTTGAGGAATTATAATTACTCAGTTTTACTTTTTTAAAGTTAATATGTGCTGTAGGAATACTGCTGACAGATACACCAAAATTTGATATGATCGGCATTCATGACGATGCTGCGTCTTGGGTTCAATGAGATAAGGCAATAAGTAACTCGTCTGAAGACTGATTAACAAATACCGATTCAAATTACTTCTAACTCCCAACAGACAATACATATATATATATAATGTGCAAACACCATAAGTCCTCGGTAATTTAAGCTAGTACATAGCTAGTTTTATCAGTCGCTTAAGGTCGACCGTCAAGGTTGTCAACTCATTATTATTATATTATTATTCCCTTGCGTTCCAAGTGGAACATGGGGATTCAACAACACACCTCCACTTTGTCCTATCTTCTGCCACCCTCTTCAGTTGGGTTCACGATTGACCAAACTCTCTAATCTCACACGATCTCCTCTATGTCACCCTCACACCTACGACCCACTCGTCGCTCCCCATCTGGATTCCACTCGAGCACTGGCCTGGCGTCCGATATCATTTGGCGGCCTCCTCAATGTATGCCCTATCCATCTCCATTTTCTCCTACATATTTGTTGAACGATCGGATCTTGGTTGATTTGTTCCGACAGTTTCCTGTTGCTTATTCTTTCTGAGCATTTGATCTTCAGTAAGGAGCCAGCGAAGGCAGCTGTTGATGAAAGTTTGCAACAGGCTGTTGGAAATCCTTCACGTGACACGCAGTGCAAGTTTGTGACCCGTATAGAAGAAATGACTTCACAATTGTGTTGAAAATGAGAATCTTGTTCCTTATGCTGATTGCTGAAGATTTCCAAACTGGTTTCAGGTTCGTTGATGAAGGTGTATCTTGCCTTTGTGATTCTGCCTGCTGGCTTTGACATCTTCGTCCGTTCCGCCTGTAGTTGAAACGATGCTTTCCAGACAAGTGAAGGTGGCAACCTGTTAAATCTCTCCCGTTGATGATGGTGATTGGTGCCAGTTGTTGTTGCTGTGACTTTTCGAATCACTATCCATTTTGTGAAGAAATGAAACATCAATCTTCAGATTTCTAGATGAACACGCTGTTCATAAACTACTGGATTAGAATCTAACTTCTAACGATTTTAAGCTTAATCGAGAATTGAATTCACTCAGAGAAGCATCGAAAACCAGGAAGTATTGAGCGGTTATTCCATCCTAGTTTTGGGACTGTTCTTCAGTACGTATCCATGACCCCACCGGTGATCGATTTCAGAACCTTCAGGTTACATGGCAGGCTGGTTGACCATCTATCCACTAGGACGAAATCCAATGGTCCATGAACTTCAACTTCTACGGATTCATAATATATGGTGCCATCAACAATCAGTGTCATCGGTGAGTATGCGTCCTCACATACACTCCCACCCAACTTGGTGGACCTCGCTGGTCACGACTTCTCATTTGAAATTCAAACGGTTCTATTCTGTGTTGGTTTGCAAGGATTTGGTCGATTTCTTTCTTATGATTTGTATGTTCTGACAAATAACAGTAAAGAGCTGACACTTTCAAGGTCCTTATATCTCATACGCTTAAATATTCATAGAGGATTTCTTCAGTGTTTTCTGACTGCCTGAACTATTAACACACGTTGAGTGTTGAAATTATTTTGATCTTAATAAGTGGAATTAAACGATCTGTTTGTGGTAATCCCTGTGACATTTTCTTAACTTCACGAAGACTCAAACAATCTGTGACAGACATCAAACAGAAGAAATCTTCAAGTATTGGTTTGTAGGGATTTGATTGATTGGTTACAGGATGTCATTATGAGCTGACATCAGTTAGAGGACCACTGGAAAACCAGGGAATACTAGGCAACTGTTTCGTCCTAGTTTGGGACTCTTCATCGGTACGCACCCACAGGGGTTCGAACCCAGGAGCTTCTGGTTATAAGGCTAGCGAGCTTGTAGACCATTCAGCCACTTGTTTAATTCTGATGTCATATTCAGAATCTCAGGCAATTTAGTCAAGTACCCTGATTATCCAGACTTTAATAGTCCTGATACTGTGTTTGATCTTGCTTTTAATTTATTAGTATCCTTGATAATTTATCGAAACACAGGACATTGTTAGTGTGTTCCATATTATAACCTAGAGATGCTTACTGTACTATTTTATAGCATCTTACAAGGCGTCAAGTGCTAGGTAAGCAGGGAAATTTAGTGGATGAATTCTTGAAGTAGAATCGACGAAGGTGGCTAGAACACGTGTTACATGTATCAAACCAGTGTCGTCCTTATCGGACGATGTCAGCTGTTATAGGTTTGAGTTGGAATCGAGTTAAGGGTTATCAATGCAAAACATGGCATCAGTCCACGAAATCTTCGACAGCCGTTGTATTTGGTGGGGTGTAGACTACCTCTTTGGAGTCCTAGAGACAGTTAGTAACACAGCTTAAATTTATTCTCAATGCGGAACAGATGCATTTACTTTCTGTGTGATTTATAAGGTCTGTTTTTACGAGTTTGACCATAGATTGTTGATATCAGTCAGAGAACCACTGAAAACCAACCAGTGAGTACTGGACAGCTGATCCTTACAAACCAACTCTTGAAAATGTGTAAGATCCACTAACTACTAATGCTTCGATTCTTTATCCCCTTTGTATGCTGTACAGAGTGTAGCGACCTAAACTGCTGCATCTTTGTACAGAGTTGTATGTAAAAAGTTCAGTTCAGTTTTACACAATTAGACAACCTGCTTTCACAGATAATTAGCATTATTATTATTATCATTAGCATCTCACAAACTGGGAGATATGCAAGTGAAAAGCAACAAGTTTGCAGAGGAAGCATCAAAGATAGGACTTCACTTCAGGTGAACATAAAGAAAAAAGAACTGATGAAGATTCCTGGCCAACAGCAACAGTGACAGAAACAACAACAGACAACAATCGGCATAAATGGCAGAAATCTGAAAGAAGCAACCTCTTTTACCTACCTACCTTGTAAGCATCGTTTCAACTACAGGCCAGCGGAACTGACGAGGATATCAAAGCTGCGAGGATCGGAAAAGCAAGACAAGCTTTCACTACTCTCAAGTCTGTGTGGAGGTCAACAGCCCTACTCAGCATCAAAATGAAAATAAGATCCGGATTTTCAACTCCAATGTGAAGTCAGGGCTACTATACGGATCAGAGACTTGGCACATCATGAAGGGCACCTCAAACAAACTACAGACCTTCATTAACAGTTGTCTTCGCTCAATACTCAAGATGAGATGGCCGGTGAGATAAGATCAGCAACAGAGATCTCTGGGAGCGAACCAACTAGGAACCAAATGTGAAACAAATATGCAGGAAGAAATGGAGATGGATTGGCCATACCCTGAGGAAACCATCAAGTGACATCACTAGACAAGCCCTTGAGTGGAACCCGAAAGGGAAGCGACGAGTTGGTCGTCCAAGGGTGACCTGGAGGAGATGAAAGCATGTAGGTAGATGTGGAGCCAGGTGAAAACGTTGTCAGAGAACCGAACGCAGTGGGGACGTGCGGCTGAAGCCCTATGTTCCTCTAGGAACTAATGGAAACAATAGTAATATAATAATAAGACAACGTGGTTTCGTAGATAATTAGCATTCTTATAAACCATTACTATTATTACTATTGTATTGTTATTTAAGCAAACTCAAGCTTTCACTGATTCATAACGACAAGTTTATGAGCACATTTATGCCAGAGAATACTAGCATACTTTATTGTTTTAGCGTAAAGCTTCATCTACTCTTGTTATACACAATATACATTGAATGTTGGTTACATAAGGTATCACTGAGGTCATAAAACAAATAAAAGCAGTTTCAGTTGGAGTCTTCAACGTTTGTCTTCTCATAGTTAACGACTGTATCCGTGTGACACTTTCATATGACTCAACGTTGGCAATTTTAACGACGGTTTATACTGATCATTACTATAATCTGGAGTTGATAGACGCGTCAGTTGAATACAAGCACGTCGGGCTCTTTCATTCAACCATTTAGCTATCTTCTCTGATGCTTTAGGCTCTTTTGATGGACACACTGGTTTTTGTATCCCATGCTGTTTATAGTATTCATCTGTCCTGTAGGCAAGTTCTTCATTGATATCACCAACTCCAATATTAATATCAAATTGTAGCAGTTGTGGTCCACGCATCCATGGAGTCAACGCGATAATCGCTTCATCTAGTGTATAATGAATTTGAATCATTTTCGTATTTTTACCAATTTTACATTCACTAGAATGACTGACGGCTTCAGATATCGAAAATAAAACTATATGACATGCTTGACAGGTGAATGTTTCCAACAGTGCCATAGGTTGTAGAAAAAGACGTTCATAACGTTCTCGTCTAGGACATGGATGTGATAGAAATTGGTCGAACCATCGAAATAATTCTTTGCATATACTACACAAGAATTTCACTTGACGTGCTGGTAGATAAGGATTAGACATAACATCAATCGTCCATCTTTTCAAGGCCAGTCTTATTAATTCTGGTGTATTCAGTCGAATAAATGTGAATATTAACGATGAACACGATTTCCCATGCTCTGTAAACTCTTCAAAATTATAAAATAAACAATGACATTCATTACAAAAGAACATAATCTCTAAACTTAACGGTGTAATCAATTTTCCCGCCACGCATGGATGATAAAAATATTCAACAAGACTTGGTTGTTTAAAACCGCACAGGAAACAATTCACTGATATATCAGGTCCACGTGGTAATGGATCCGGTGGTAATGGTATTCCTCCGGGGGGTTCACCTGGTCGACGTTCTTTAAATGCACCGCCATGATGTAAGTGATAATCAAATTCATAACAATGCCTGCCAAGAACAAATTGTTGATTGGCTAATTCAGTTAGACTAACAGAAAAATCAATACAAAATGCCCTATCTTTACGACAATATGGTAAATGAGTAGTATATTGGTTTTCATTCAAGAATACAAAATGACATTCAATACAAGTTTTTAAACGTCTAATAAGTACCGGTGGCAGTAAAGCGAATTGAAAACATGAATGTAATAGATATTCAAGTTTTGTTTTAAACATATTACTACATTTACTACAACGTACAATAAATTGCCATTCTGGTTCATGTGGTTTACTCTCCCAATCCTGTCGACGATTCCATGCTATGTAGAAATTAAAATGATCCGTATAAGTGATTGGCAGGACTTCTTCAACTTCATGATACATTTTTTCATAACATTTTTTATGGTTATTACATTTGTGTAAATTATAATCTGCATGGGAATAAAAGACTTGATTACATGTACGACAGGCAAATGCTTGTGTTTCACCTAAATGAAATCTAGCCAGATAATATTTACGCCAACAAGAATGTTCAATAAATTTTTGAAATGAATGTAAGGTGATCTTGCATACTGGACAACAATAATTTACAAATTGATAAATTGGCCAATCATCATTTGTTGAAACAAGTTTACGTTTAATATTTTTAATTTGAATTGGTGGTGGAATTTCTGCTTTTGTTGGTGAGCTTTTCTTATTTGGACTTTTCTTCTTTTTATCTTTTTTACTTCCAGGAGATCCTTTCTTCGGAGAATCTTTTTTACTTCCAGGAGATCCCTTTTTCGGAGAATCTCTATTACTTCCACTTTTTTTAGGTGAACTTTTTGGCATTTTATTTTGTTGAAGAAATAATTAATGTTTTACTGTAAAAATTTCAAATAGAACACCAATGTGTTCATTGTGTTCAATGGATAATAAAATGATGTTGTTTTCCTTATTTTTAAAGTGCTTTTATTGATTTTTTTGATGAGGTAAATCAATAAGGCTGACTGTTTAAATGAATGTATCACATGACAGATGCATAAAATGTCAACATAAACATAAATGATGTCGAATGACCTGAACTTGCTGAAAATTGCTAACGGATAGTATGAAACTAAATAATGCAAATGAACAAGTGGTTAATCGTAGCGTAGTTGTCCGTTTCTATGGTTGCGTAATGACAAATTATATTTTTCTTATGCCTTTAAAATGAAACTTTGCACTAAAAACGTTTTTCTGATATACACATTATCAGAAAGGCGAAATAAGCCTTCATCAACCTGAAACCAGTTTGGAAGTCTTCTGTATTACTTCAGCCAGCATAAAGAACAAGATTCGGATTTTCAACACATATGTGAAGTCAGTCAGTCAGTTCATCTATATGGGTCTGAAACTTGCAGTTCACCTGACGAAGAGGATTCCGACAAGTTACAAACTATTATCAACAGCTGCCTTCTTCGCTGACTCCATACTGAAGATCAAATGGCCAGCCAGCCGGTCAGAAAGAATTAGCAACAAGAAACTCTGGCTGGTAACAATCCAACCGAGAGCCGAAATCTCGACAAATGTATACGTTGAGGAAACCGTCGAATGAGATCGCGCGTAGTGCAGGCCATCGCTCGAGTGGAACCCTAATGGCAAATGATGAGTTGTGCTTAAGTCCGAGGTTGACATGAAGGAGGTACTGTGAGGAGGAGATGAGAGATTATGGCCAATCGTGGAGCTAACCAGCTGAAGAGGACGGTAGAGGATAGAACAAAGTGGAGATGTGTCGTTGACGCCATCCCTATCTTCCACTTGGAACCCGAGGGCATAATAATAATAATATCTGTGTCATTAAATTCTTGAACTGTGTTACACCTGCTGCACTTTTATCATAAATTGTTGCCCGATATTGATATCTGCGTAGTGTAATGGATTAAAGGAGGCAGCAGGTTTACTGATGTTTGCAATTCGATTAAAACAACCCGATCTTTGTGCGAAAAAGAAACAGGTTCAATCACCATTTCTACTCTGACCCTTTTGTGAAACTGGCGAAGTTCAACAATAGCATCCTAAGGGATGCGAACGCACGAGTGATCTCCAGCCGACCAATCATAAAAATGAGGACGTTTTTGCACAAAAAATGACGTATATTTATAAGAAAATGCATGAAGACACATTAAACAGAGTATTTTTCTCTGACATGACTTAAACGTTCCAGTTATAATGAGGAGTATCAGCTGCTTAGTTAGACTAGTTTCTGTACATGTGTTCACCGAGGTGACTGAAGATGAGCTGTTTTTGTGAGTCGTTTATCTTTCTTCTCATGTTGTACAGTCTTCCCCAAAAGCCCCGGTTGGATTACTAAAGTTTCCAGTAGGAGGATCGACAACTACTTACTAGGAGAATGTGGATAATAAAAATTAAAACAAATGACATCAACTCTAAATCTATCCCTAATCGTAACCCTAACCTAAATCGTGACTCTAACCCTAAACTTAAAACTAATCCTAATTATAACCCTTATCCTAACCGTAAACCTAACCCTAACGAGCTACTAACACATTATCCAAACAGTCGTTAAAAACGTGATCTAGCTGAAATTTTCCCCTTAGTTGGTGAATAGCGTTGGTATTTCAGCTATTATAATGACAGGTGCTGTTAGCCAACGACTAGCATGAGTTCAAGATCATTGGAGCGTTCGCACTCCTGGGATGCTGTTGTTGAACTTCACCGTAAAACCTATAAATTCATGACTTCTCTATTATTTTACTTAATTTATCTGATATTCAAATAGGTCTAATATTAGAAACATTTATTTCCCGATACGAATTTAAAACAAGCAACAAGGGTTAATAAAGCAAGATTTAATGAATTTATCAAATTTCGGTAGAACTCTTCAGCTGCTGAATACTCTACATTCAGGGATGCATATATACTATTGAAATTACATTGGGAGATATAAGACTGATAAGTTAATAAACTACATTGAATTAATCATGCAGAAAGACAGGTGCGAATGTTTTCCAGGTCGTGTTCAAATAGATAAGTTAGGGAGAGAGAGTATGAGAGATCAAAATTAAGAAAAATTGCATTACACTTCAATTACATCACTTAGATAAACAATTAGACATTAGAGAATATATCAGGAATTGCGAACAGAGTAATATCAATAGTAGTAGTTATAATAGTAATAATAGTAATGCTGAAGTGAGTTAAGATAATGTTACGGATAAAAGATCGTTTTAAATGAATTAATAATAATAATAATAAGTAAAACATATTACCTCAGTAGATTCAGAGTGACCACCATTTCCTCTTGTACACAGAGACCTGCTTTATAAACTTGAATTGCACAAGCCTCGGCGATTGCAAGAATCTTCCTGTTTCTTTATATGTTGACAATAGTGAATGACTTGACAGCGTCGATATCATGTCCATAGTCCACGAGATGTTTTGTTATTGAGGTTTGTGGCACTTTGCACTCAGCTGTTTTCAACCATTTTGGCAAATGCTCCATCATGAGAGTAGATAGTCGCCTTTCTGTACGTTTTTACCTAGGTATTTGCTTCCAGAAACACACTGAAATTGATATACAGGTAGTTTGAAGTATCAAGTATTGGCTACTGGCATTTCCCAGATTGTTGAATCACTCACATGACGGCGGTGTTAAGGAAGACTAGTTTTGCAGTATAGAAAGTTCTCTTGATAGCCTTATCGAGTCTTCGTTTGACTACTTCTTGTACATTATATCCTTTGAACGGTAAACTGATATATACAGATTTCTTTGGAACTGCTTGGACAGTTTTACTGGGGCTCGTTTCTTTAGAGTGTTTATTGATGAACTTCTCAGGATATCCATTCTTAGATTAAAATATCCTTCAGAGTCTTTATTTCATGTTCATTAGTACTGCCATAACAAATTTTTCGTGCTCTATTGAAGAGTCTCCTGACTAAGTTCTTTTTAAACTGTATTGGGAACAAAACTTTTAAAATGAATGTACTGTCCTATCCATGAAGACTTTCATGTCCTGTTATTTCAGTTGAAAATACAAATTTTTTTAAAAGATTTGCATTTGAAACTGCAACAGACTTAAGTTTGTCATTTTCTAGTCAACGAATGATTAGGACTCAGACGAAGGATAAGCTTGATAGTTTTGCCACATCTATGTTTATGTATCAGTTCAGCTGCACCTGTGGTGACAATTATGCTGGGCGTACAACAAGACAGCTTACTGAACATCTTCGACCGTGGTTTGGTAAAGAATAGACAAAAGCCATCCGGAGCTTCATTTTGTCACATTTAGTAGAGGAAACGCAAGTATTCAGGGTGATTCATCGCAACCCACCGAATCTTCCCATTGGACTCCATATTCTTCTATTACACAGAGTTGAGGTGACAGGCATTCGAACTATATTTAGCGTAAACTATGCATTCAAAAAAAATTTGTACAGTCATTATTCCTCCCTTGATCAATTAAGACATGATGGCGTCACCACCATTTTGTTTTATTCCTTTACGTTTCCAGTGGAACATAGGGCTTCAAGGTAGAGGTTTGAAGTTTCGGTAATAGTGGTGATTATTTTTACGGGATGGAGCTGCTAGCCTCATGCTCACACTTCCCTGTTTACCAATCGTATTACTGGCTTAGAGAGGTAAATGGGTGCGTCAGCGGGGATCGAACCCTGGATCGCATTCGTGGTTCGCGAGCATACTCCCGCCGTGCCACCAACGTCAAAACCATTCCTTACTTATATTTTCAGTCCTTCACTTATCATCCCTTAATCTTATCACATCTTCACTAAAACATAATTTATTTACTTCCCTTAAAATCTAGCATTAGTTAATCGGTTCATTTGTTTTTCCCAGCCTTTATCGACCAGTATGTCTACCTGAACATTTGTTTGTTTAATCATACTGTTTTTCATTATTCTTGTTATCACAGATTGCCTCACTTTTTCATCCTTATTGTTGATAGAACCATTATTATTGATATTATTATTAGTACTATTGTAACGATTCAAGACGTAAACATTGAAGAATATTGTTGTCTACAATTTTGTCTTGCAGACAGCTCTCACCACATTATGGCTAGCTGTGTGGTGAGATTGGTAGACAGTAATTTACGTCAATGTTTATGTCCCAAATATTAGTCATGTGAAAACAAGAACAAAGACTGATAGCAGACTGTGCGTAGACGGATACAATTAGCAGATAGATGATCTGACATTCAAGAGACTGCCACAAAGAGATGAAAGATTAACTTTTGGTGAGAAACAACCAATCAGAAGACTGTGTTTGTCTGCTAACAATAATCTATAATAATGTACATGAAAATCTATAAATATGTGTTGATTTCCATAATAAACAATCTGTTGCCTGAATCTTGCCTTTTGGCGTTACAGCTGCACCATTTCTATGCATATTATTGCCCTCTTATAAACAAATAACCATGGTTGATTTATATTATAGTATTTATTTGTAAAGTTATGTAGGTATATTAGAGTTAAGCCTGATGAGATCTAATTGAAAGCACAATATTGTTCGCTTACATTTATCGTTCTAAGTATTCTAATTACACACACACGCACTTCGAGGGGAAAATTCATCACATGTATCCTTTGGATCACAATACGCAATCTGCTTAATACCATGAATGGTAATGAAGTAAGCAAGCTGTGATGAATTCCTAAGAGGAATTGTCTTCTATTCTTCCGTATGGCTATGAAATCTGGGTAGTTGTGTGAGTGCTGGCGGAGGGGTGACGGATGAGATTTCCAACCGTATAATGAAGGCTAGGGTGGCATACATCAAATTGAGCCACCTCTGGCGCCGTCGTGACGTTAGCCTGGCTGTCAAAGGTCGG